GTATTTTTTATCTGATTAATTTGATTGGCTGTGCTGCAGCCCACACACACATAACAAGACTGGAAAGACTGTCTGCAGTTTTTAATACTTTTAATTAGGGCTGGGCGATATAGAAAAAAAGCTTATTGATAAAAAAAAATACATATTGATCGATATTGATAATTATTGTAAAGATTTGAAACCATATTTTATGTGCAGCTCTACCTGGACTTTTTTATAATATTGCTAAATGATTTATTTTTAATAAAAAACACAAACACAGACTTCGAATTAAATCTTTATTTAACTAACTTTAACCATAACAGAATTGTTTTAAAGAAAAATAACTTAAGAGACCTGGGTTATGTTATTAAATACTGACAAAGAATAAACTAAAGGGAACAGAAAAGTGACCAAAATAAATATAACAAATAGATAAATGCCCCCCCACCGCCGCCGCCGCCCCCGTTTCCTGCTTTAACCTGAGTTATTACTTTGAAGTTTCTGGCCCCTCAGCATTTTTATCTCAATCGTTAGAACTACGTGGGAAACTGCCCAGAACTGAAAATATATATATATTTTCCCAAAATTCCTCGGAGGAGAGCCGCGCCGGGGCCTACACAGCTCGTACTCCTGCGGCTGTGAGCGGCTGAGATGATAAAAAAAAAAAAAAGAAAAGTTAATTGTGTTATCAGACTTCGTTTTCACTGGTTCCCGACACATTTTTCAGATGACTGTGGTTTGTTTTTGGTCCGACTTGCCATGACCGAAATACTGCCAGACTGCCGAACTACAAAACCCTTCTTTGAAACAATTTCCTCCGCCTCTCTTTGCTGCGACATCTTCATGTGCTCTGTGTTGTGGTTTGAGTGACGTCGTGCCTGGGTCCGCGATTGTGATTGGTTGGGAGGAAGTAGTGACTAGCATAAACCTACATGCTAGGCTACAATGAGAAGGAAGGAAAACTGCGTTTCTTTTTTATCGAACTTTTATCGACCCTCTTTTTTTCTATTGCGCCACACGACTATCAATCGATATATATCGTTATTGAATTATCGCCCAGCCCTACTTTTAATGTAATAAAGAAATGGAGTGCGCCCCTAAAAAATTGTTATAAACTTTAGATTTGGGGTAACCTTTTTCTTTAAAAAAAAAACAAACTGGTTCAAGTCCATTTTGAGACCCAAGTCTCTAACCTTTTATTGACATCAGGTCTAAAGTCATAAAATTGTGACCTGTTACCTCGCTTGTATGCTAGCTGTCTTTGCTCTACGTAGATTTTTATTAAGAGTAGATTCCTCATTTACCTGGACTGCCTATTGTGCTGTCGAGCCGTGAGGCGGCCATATTGGAAAGGTCGCCCGCTGACATGCTCATTGAAGTTTCAGCCAAATAAATTAATCATAACCAACTGAAAACAAAACATTTCATGCTATTTGTGATGCAAATGTTCTCAGTACACCCACCCTAGCTACATGTATAGGGAGACATATTTCAGTGCATTTAAATATTCTTAATGGAGTTAAACAATAAGAATATTAAGATGTGATGTTTTTGCATCGAAAAAGACACAACCTACAATACATTTCTATATATTTTTTTATTTATATACATATTAATATTTAAATATATTCATATATTGAAAGAAACAAATATATTAAGGAGATGGTGATTAGCATTTAAAGTACATATATGCTATATAACTCCACACAAATATATAAATATAATTCTAGTAACTGAGGCTATCTATCTAGCCACCAATCTGCAGTTTTTATAGACGCTGTTTTTAATCTGGTTACTTTGAAAAGCAGATTTATTTCTGCAGAAGCGTTATTGCTAACAGGTAAAATATTACTGCATGAATGCACTGATGATATGAAGCAATAAAATCTCTCAATGCTGTGGGGGAATGAGATTCCTTGGAAGCAATGAGGGAGTTACGCAGCCTGAGGTCCCCAACCCCCCCATGGAAAACTGCAGGCTTTTCCCAGCTGTGACATGTATCAGGTTTCTGCCCTAATTAAAAGATCAGGCTGATCTCCTGAGTCCCTCTGTTGTTACAGCACAGAGCTTCGGTTGATTTCTGACAGTGATCGATGTGTTTGTTTTATCTCTGAGAGGGTCGGATGTCACTGGTGGAGGTTTTTGCTGCTTTATGCTCAGTTTAGTCTTAGAAACTCCTGCTATGCTGGATGTGAAGTGAAGGTATGGAAGAAAGGAAGAAATGTACCGTTTGACCATGAAGAAATAACATGTAATTCTTTATTGTTGGATTTTCTTCCTTTGTTTCCCTGGTCATCTCTTACAACAACCCCTCCCATCTTTTCATGTGTGACGATCAATATTTTCTCCTTGACATCCAGAAAACTGTCAGACATCTTCCCAAGAAGAAAATACCAGATTTTCCCAGATTGTAATGAAAGATTACCCATTTTCTCTTTTATTTTATACATCTTAACCCTTTCATGCATGAATTATGATAGTATATGTTATGATTTTTTTACCAAGTGTTTTTATTACTCTTTATTAATGAAAAAAACATTTTCATAATTTATTTTTAAAAATATACTTTCTTTAGGGAGTTGGTAACATGTCCACTTGGGTGGACAATGCGCATTTGTGCAACTGATATAACCTTGTTTTGTTTTGTTTTAAAGAAAACTATTGTTACTTGATGTCCCCATATTTTTTTTAGCTGCAAGGATCGCCTAGAATAGAAGGAATGAGCAGATATTCCTCTCCCTCACAACCCATGTGCTCCTCTGTCGGCCATTTTTTTTTTTGAGGAAAAAAAAGTCACTTGCAAAGGCTGACGAGTAGGTGGCAGTTTGACAAGTGGCAGGATGATACATTAGCATCCACTGTAGTAACATATGTGCAAATGTGACATTAAAACATGTTCATTTAAGAGAAAACAACCATTTAATAACTGTCCACTGTAGTGACCACTATGCATGAAAGGGTTAAGAAGAAAAAAGTTTTAATTTTCCTGCTGAAATTTTATCCTAAAGTTAGAAGAGTCTTGTCTTGTCTGAATTTTACCAACACCACCACTGCTGCCTAAATGTAGCGATATTACAAATTATTTTATTTAATTCAATAGAGTTTTGAAGTCTTTTATTTTTAATCCAATAGTGACAACCTTATATTCCTCTTTATTCAATAATTTCATGATTATTAAAATTTAAAAAGTGTTTGAATGTTGAGCAATCAGTTTTTATAAGTTTTAACACACAGGACGAGACATTTAAGCTGCAGTATTTATGTTTTTGCAGAACTCAGAGAAATTCCGATATCATTTCTGTGTCTTAAGGATATTTAGATTATTTATCTGTTTCAAACATAGCAGCAGGGATGGGAAGCAGCTCAAAGCCCTACTTTTCTACACAACAAAAAATGCCTTCGAAAAAATATAGTGTTTTAAGTGAATAATTGCTTATTTTGAGCAAAATAATCTGCCAGTGCAACAAGCAAATGAGACTTGGTAAGATTTATTAAAACAAGAACATAATATCCAAGTAGTAAGCATCCAAAAAAACTTAAATCAAGTAGAAAAATCTATTTTTTCTTTTACTCGTTAAGATTTTTTCTCCTATTTTAAGCAATTTATTCTCATTTATTAGTCATTATTGCTTAGAATTAAATGTCCTCTAACCAATTATTGCTCAAAACAAGCAAACAACAGGCTTCACTGCAAAAAATAGAAACCTCAATAAGTTATTTTTTCTTAAAATAAGTGAATTTTTCCTTGAATTGAGGACGTAAGTAAGACACTTTGCCAATGGAACAAGACAATTTCCTTTTAAAATAAGAAAAAACTATTTTATCGTCTTATTTCAAGTAAATATTATCTAACTATCTTATTTTAAGAGTAAAAATACTCATTCCATTGGCAGATCATCTTATTTACCTGCTCAAATTAAGGGTAAATATACTTAATTTAAGAATTTTTTTACTTATTTCTGGATTGTTTTTGCAGTGTTAAAAACAAGGCAAATGTACTTTGTTCATTTAAAGGCTTAAAACTAGTCTGTTTTTCTTAGCTAGAATTTATTTCATTATTTAGGTGTAGTGAATGTATGAAAAAATACACCTGACAAAAACTTAAAAACTTTTTTTTATTATTTTAGCAGAAATGTCACAGAATTAAGCGAAATACCCATTCCTCCAATCAGATTTGATCAGCTGGAATATCTTAATGAGATGGGGTCAGTTCTTAAAACAGGTTAATATGGATCGTCTTATTGTCTTGAAACAAGTAAAAATGTACTCACAGTCTAAATGTTAACGCGACTCAGTCCGCAATGTGAGCTATTTTAAGAAAAAAGCTGCTCAGAATTAGTTGTATTTTCTAGTTAGGATGAAAAAAATGAATTTTCTTAAAACAAGTCAAATAATCTTAACAATATTTAGTCTCACTAAGAAAATACATTGAAAAACAAGTGTAATAAGACCAATTCATGTTTACCTCAGATGTGTTTTACAGGTTGACAGCTATGGAGCTTTTAAATTCTATGGTTTGGCAATGCGAGTTTCCTCAAAACCGTTACTTTGACAAATGCAACATCCATCTATTTTCTGACTTAAATCCCAAGTGGGGTCGCGAGGGGTGCTGGTGTCTATCTCCAGCTGTCTACGTGCGAAAGGCGGGGTCCACCCTGGATAGGTCGCCAGTCCATCGCAGACAAATGCAAGAGAGGGTGGAAAAAAATAACTGTCTGTTGTTAATTTTACTCTGAGAAACACTGGAATTGGTTATAAAAGCGTGTTTGGTGTTTGATATTCTGGAAAACCACAAAGAACAGCAGTTAATTTCCTACCTAAAGACCTAATTCCTTGAAACGGTCGCAGTTGGCTCAAGGATCTGGCATTTACTAAGCTAGAGCTACCAACGCTATTGTCGTTGTTGCTTCGAGTCGGTATTTTGTTGTTTGTCACTGGATAAAATATTGCTCTCCAGATGTTTTCATTATCTGGCTCTACTGTTTTTAAATTTACATTGCTGTTTTTTTTATTTGCAGTTAAGCCTAACAAGATGCAGACAATAGAGAAGAAGGACGACAAACAGAAGGACGGGGAAAAGAAGGTGGAGGCGTTTGAAGACTTGAACAAAGCTGAGCACGGGAGCGTTAAGGTTGAATTCACCAGCAATGAAAGTCCGGTCAAAGTGGAGAATGAGGTGGGAAAGGACACGACCAAGGTCAACGAACACGAGGCAAAAAAGGGTGAAGAAGAAAAACATCCAGACAAAGAAAAGGAGGCGGATAAACCGGATGACCAAAAGCAAACAGAGAAAGTAATAGGAAAGGAGGAAGCTGTTCAGAAGAAGGAAGAGAAGGGTGACAAACAGCCCAAGGTAGAAGAACCATCCGTCACAGTGGAAAAGCAAGAAAAGGTGGAGACAATCAACAAGGTGGAGAACACCAGCGAGAATCTGAAAGAAGAAACGAAAGTGGAGAATGAACATAAGGAGAAAGCAGAAAAGGTGGAAGAGAAGGAAAAGTCCAACATGGAAGAGAAGAAAGTGGAAAGCAAACCCATTGAGAGAGAGGAAAATGTAGAAAAGTTGGACATGAAACAGGATTTCCATGTGGAAGAAAAAGCAGAAAACAAAACAAACCAAATTGCAGAAAAAGCTGAGATAAAGGAGGACAAAGAGCTGCACAAAGTGGAAACGGCTTCAGAGCAACAGCCGGCACATGTCCAGCCTGAGCCGACTCATGACAAGATGGAGACCAAGGTTAGGGTGGAGGTTAAAACCGAGGAGAAAGCGAAGAAGGAAATGTCCGACACTGCCGAACCCAAGGCGATAGAAAAAGAAACGGCTGCCACAGGTGAAGCCAAAACGATGGAGAAAGAAAAGGTAGACACGGGCGAAGCCAAACTGACAGAGAAAGAACAGGCCGACACGGTCGAAGCTAAAACAACGGACAAAGAAAAGGTAGACATGGGCAAAGCCAAACTGACAGAGAAAGAACAGGCCAACACGGTCGAAGCTAAAACAACGGACATAGAAAAGGTAGACATGGGCAAAGCCAAACTGACAGAGAAAGAAATGGCTGCCTCGGGTGAAGCCAAAACAACGGAGAAAGAAAAGGCCGACACGGGCGATTCCACAGCGATGGATAAAGAGAAGGCGGACGGTGGTGAAACCAAAACAACGGAGAAAGAGGATGCAGGAACCAAGCCCCTGGAAAAGCCTGTTGTGAAAGAAGGACAAAAATCAGAAAAGGAGGAAAGGCAAGACAAAAAGACTGTAGAGAAGAAGGACAGTAAGAAAGAAAAAGCTGTTAAAGCAGACGGAGACAAGGCCAAGAAACCTGTGAAGGCTGCAGCCAACGGAGGCAGCTCAACGGCTAGCAAGGACCTCCCAGGTGCAGAAAGGAAGACCAAGGTAGGACTAACTAGATGCTGTGGTCTATAGCTAATGTTGGTACTCCTCATAAACCCATCAATGGAGTCAAAATCATATTTTTCTTTGAAGCTAATGACGTTGGCGTTGACTTTACCCCCCAAAAATGTAGATATTTCTAGCTCTTAAAGCGATTTCTTAGCTAAATCTGGCATCAGTGGGTCGGGGCTGCACAAAGTCAGGGTTTGGGAATGGATCAAGAAATGTTTGACAAGTGCCTCTAAATTTCCCTTTAGGTATGAGGTCATAACTTCAAATTATTTCAGGAATTTCTCCTTCTCTTTTGCGATAACTCATATCTCATGAAGTCAACGGAAACAGTTGCTATCTTAAAAACAGCCAGAAACCTACAGAGCAGATTCCCCTACTAGAAAATCTACAATTACAGGAGAATTTCTAGGTCTACGGGACAGATATACCTGTGAGTAAAACTCAACATAAAGCTGCAGTTATGATAACACCGAAAATAATGCTGAAAACCGACCTTTTGATTCAAACAACGAAAACATTGTTTCCACCATTCTTATTGTAAACATTGGGGAACCAAAAAGCCCGCCCAACTGGGAAAATATTCAATTCAATTTCATTCAATCAGATCATCTGGTCAAATTAGTGTAAAGTTTTCTTTATAGTTACAGTTGACTTTGTAGAATTCACTCCTCCTAGAGGAGCACATTGTGACAGTAAACATTTGCTTGCATTGTGTTGTCGACGCTACAGCAATCCCTCAGCATTCATGCACTGACAGCACAGAGAAACCTCCCTTTAATTAGGACCAGGCTGCATAAAGCTTAAAGTTAAACTAACACATAATGCAGAGGTGGAGGCTAGAAGTCGAATGAAGCAAAATGATGTAAAGTTGTCCCTATGTCCTCCAGCAGTCTAAGCCTATAGCAGCAGAACTATAGAGATAGCTCAGGATAACCTGAGCCACTCTAACTAGAAGCTTTATCAAATAGGAAAGTTTTAAGCCTAGCCTTAAAAGTAGACAGGGTGTCTGCCTCACAGACTAAAACTGGTAGTTGGTTCCACAGGAGAGGAGCCTGATAACTAAAAGATCTGCCTCCCATTCTACTTTTAGAAATTCTAGGAACCACTAGTAAACCTGCAGATTCTCTGGTCGGCAAATACTAAATAATCAGGACTCTGATATAAGATGGACATTAGTCCAAGCTTGAGAGAAGTCGGTATGTTATTGGTTTTCAATATTAGCATTTATAAGAATGTTAAAGTGAACAGTCTGTGTTGGACTGGTCTGTAGTTAAAGTAAAAAAAATGTCTTTAGCTTGGTATGCCTTTAATAACACATTTAGTTACCATTGTCATTGTAAACAACATTCTTAATGGCTGTGAATGTCCAGCCTCTATATAGAGAACTTTATACAAGTTATGCCATTTTATGTCCGAACATCTAGTGGATGAAACAGTAGTGGACTCAAAATTTCTCACAATGCACCTTGAAAAGAAGTGTAAATCCATGGTCACTAGAAAAGCATAAATATCCAAGAATTATTATCAAGAACTCTCCTAGCAAAGAATCATGGGATTTTGTTTTTGGGAAAAAAAGATGGCGCAGGGAGCCGAAGCAGCTGGATGATGGAGCAGGAAGTGCGTAGCCAACAGTCTAACCAGAAATAAACATGTAAATAAACAATCACATCTGCTTTGTGAGAATCCAGGATTTCATCTTTGACAAAAGAAAAACATAAAATCTAAAGATTTAGTGGTTCTCATGGCGTCTGCTTTCAGCAATAACTTTTACACTAAAGAGTGTTAGTAGTTCAGTATGGAGGGCTCGTTCAGTTAGTAGTCCGTCTCTCAGCTGCACTTAGAGAGCACAGTACCCTTCTTCAGTTGCAATTTTATTTTCTTATTATTTTAAACTGTTTTCCTTAAGTTTTCTATTTTGTTCAGCTTTTATTTTGTTAAATTATTCCTCCATTAGCCTGCTTCATTTATCTATGATTTTATATTTCATTTTTTTTCTGTTTGCTTATCCTTTTCATTTTGCCCTCCATCAACGACCCCGGTGCTTTTCTGATGCGGCAGGCTGCCGTAGGGGCGACCAAACCAGCAGGCGCTGTCAAAACGCGGCCAAACACCGCTCCCGCCGCCGCCGCTGCCACCAAACGCCCCACACCCACCACCACCAGCACTACCACTGACAAAAAAACAAGCACACTCAAGACAGCTTCCACAGCTGCTGCCGGGCCCAAACGGCCCCCCACCAATCCCACTAGCCGCCTGTCATCACAGCCCCCCTCCACGGGCACACGTGACGTTAAACCTAAGGTGAGTGTTTGGAGGTTTACAGAAAACACTAATGTAGAGCTTAATCGTCGTGCACCAATTCATCGGTCAATATAGAATAAAAATGATATACATGTTCCTGTAGGTTGTTAACTGGATAAAAACTAATTTAAAATATTTAAACTGAATTATTTCACAGTTTTTCTTTCCTTAAAAAAAAAGTATTTAAAAATAAGATTCAATTCAGTTTATTTATATAGCTCCAATTCACAACTATCTATCTAAGGAAAACCAGCTGATTGCATCGATTCATTGACTCTTCAGCAATCCCTCACGCTAAGCATGCTTGTAGCGACAGTGGAGAGGAAAAGCTTGCCTCTGCTTTAGTCTGATGTACCTCTGACTCTTTGGTTAAAGCTTTCCTTTGGTGACCCTGCAGAAAAAAAAGATCCAACAGCATGATGCTGCCTCCACCATGTATATTCAAAAGCCTCCTACAGACTTTAAATAAAAAAATAATTTACAAAAAATCAATATTTGTAAATATGAAGTTTGTACGATAAAAAAAGATGAATAAAGATATGAAAAACAATTATAATTTCCCATTTACAGAGATATAAATCTATCATTAACAGACAGGGTATGTTGCTATTCACCACTTCATTTCAGTGAAGTAACACGTATTTTGTAGATATTTGGTTGTGATGGAGTTTAGCTGTTCTGGTTTTGAGCAAAGCCAGGAATTATTTCCCTTTAACCTCAAAATTATTTGCTCAGACATATTAAAACTGTTGCTGTTTTGCAGGTGATATAGTGTGAAACATTAATAACCTGTATTTGATGCTGTTTTTTAATAATTCTCATGTTCTTATTCTGAAAAATATCGACTTAAGTTGTAAAAAAATGGAGAACAAATTCTGAAGCATGTTTTTTTAAAGAAATGTATTTCTTTTTTTTACCCCCAACATACAAAAGGAAGGTTATTGCACTCTGTAATGCAGGTTTCATCTGTTAGAATGATGCTTCTTTGAATCTACCTCTCTGGCGCCCTCTTTTGGCGACCTTCTTAAATGTGACACTGTAACCCAGACACTGCCAGCCTTTATTTAGCCCCTCAGCCTTCCAGGGAGCAGGGCGACAGCGTTCAGGATGAGCGGTCCGTCACAGGTCGGCTCGGCTGTATTTAGAGCGTGACATCATCCAAAGGGCTGCACTATGATGCAATCAGCTTTAACAGAATTAAATCCTCTTTTCTGATTACGTGAAAAATGTTTTCATTTCCACACTAATTTTATTTTCTCTCTCTTAACAGTCCATTACAGAGAAGCGCCCCCTAGTGCCAAAAGCCACCAGCGCTGCCACCAGTCTAACCGGCCCTGCAGCAAAAAACGGAGCAGCCGGCGCTGCAGCCAGCAAAGCGGCTTCATCGGTCCGCATGGCCACGTCCACCCGCACTACTACCAGTCCTGCCGCCAAAAAGCCCCTGGGTCTGTCCAGCTTTGATGACCTCACATTCAGGAAAGGCCGATGATTCGTATCCGACAAATGAACTGACGTATTTTCTAACAATGTGTGTTTCAGCTTCTAAAACTGACAGCAAACCAGGAGAGGAGAAGAAGCCCTCCACTGTTAGGACCTCAACAGGTATCACTATTCAATAATGTGCAAACTTTATAAAATTTATTTGATTCTCTGATATTTACAAAACATCTTGCATATTTTAAAGGAAAGGAAACCTTTTGCAAGTTATGGAAAAAAACAATGTTTAAAGGACAACTCACCCCCAAATTAACTGTTGTTATGCTAACAAACTATGTCATGGTGCTGATTACATTTCGTACACAAGATTTAAGACACAATTGTTATAACATTGCTTTTGTCTCTGAAAATGTCTGTGTGGCGCCCTCCAACTGTTTAAAAAACTTTATCACATCAGATTTTAAAACAGTTTTTGTTCTAGATTCCATAAAAACGGAGCTCTGCTACTTTGATGCATATCTGCTTTGTTAGCCGCATAGAGCTTGAATAGAGAGCTTAACATAATTCTATAATTTTACATGCTAGCAGTTTCTATAATAATAATAATAACAATAATTGAACTTTATTGATCTCACATCAGATAAATTCACTCTCTGAATTTATCCCTTTATGGGGCACTCAGTGAAATACTTTGAAAATCTAAATTTAAAGCCAATAGTTGTTATTAGAATTCAGGAACTAACCTTATTGCCTTTGTAACATTCAAAAAATATGAATATTTTGAAAGCAAAAATGTATGTAAATGTAATAAGAAACACCAACTAAACCAACCAAGTAACAAAAGTTCTTCTTTAAGAAATTATTGAAAAACACTCTGAGAGAGAAAGAAAAACATCTTTTTGGTACAAAATAACCTAAGAGGCATTAATGCTGATACTGGCATTTGCATTTTTTAGTTTATAATCCTAAATATTATTGTTAACTATTCTTATTAACTTTTTTCATCTTAATTTACAGAAGGTAATATATCATTCAAAGGCTCACCTGATGCTACGTTCACACCGGATGCAGCAGAAGCAGCTAGTTTCCATGCAAAGTCAATAGTTGACGCGCATTAAGGCGCAGCAAAAGTTCCTGCAGCGCATTTTAACGCCTAAATTAACTTAAGATGTAGAAATCTGCTGGCAGAATATCTTCGCTTTTATTATCCTGCTGCCTGCAGTTTACGTTATTTTGATGAAAAACACCTACCAGCCGCCGCGGTGAACCGCGAGGAGGCGACCCGGCCAGAGGCTGCTGATGAATGGGATCCTACTGATGGCGCACCGCTGGTATGTGGGGGTCTGAGCGGCTCCGACAGAAATAATATTGGAAGGCAGGATGATAATCTGAATGAACTGACTGCAATGATTACGTTTTCAGGTGTATTTTCTCACTTAAAAACATATTAAAACTACTTTATTCCCACTGATCACAGCAAATATAGCTGCAAGGCAGAGAAAGGATAGTGAAGCTCCGCCCAAAGCGCGTCAGACACGCTTTTGCACCGCGCAGCCAGAGCAGCAAAGCTGCTTCAGCCGCACGTCAGAACTAACTGGTACAAGCAGCAAAAATGAAGCAGCAGACGCGATTTTGCTGCTCCTGCTGCGTCCGGTGTGAACGTAGCATGATTAGTCAAATACCAAAATGAGATGTGCAGCCATGTAGCAGGATCTTTTCTGAATGGCTAGATTTAGATCTTGTGCTTCTAGACCTCACTGAGGGAAGGTGGGGGACTCCATTTGTAAGGTGGATGGATGCAAGTGATCAAAAATGCTAACTTGTCTTATAAAGTGTAAAGGCATCCCCTTTGGGAGCAGTTGGCTGCCATTGTGCAGAGCCCGGGGAGCAGTCTGGGGTTACGGGTCTTGCTCAAGGACCTAGAGTGGCAGTCTGTGGGAGTGGGGCTCAAACTCAGAACCTCAGGACTTCAAGCTCTATGCCCTGATTATCTATTGGAAATGATAGATTTTTACAGATTGCTGTTCTGTAATATATTAAGAGTCTGAATCATATAAAGTTGCTTTGACCTGCGTTGCCCGTGTTGCTGTTGACGGATCAGAGGCGCTCAGACAGCAAACCATGACTCTGCTGGTCGGCCTCCAGTAAAGAAAGACTTTGTTGCAGAAAATCTCTGACTCTAAAACCTCCAGCACAGCAGCCTGTGGATTAGCAACCGCTTGCTGCTGACAGGAGTTAGCAGCTCTTGCTGATGCGACCTCAACTTGTTTAATCTGCCGGGGTTCGCATATAGAGTCAAATTATTCTTAAGCTTCATCACAGCAAAGGGGGAGGATTTCCTCAATTAGAGACGTCCTAAAAGGAGTCAGAGATATTCCCAGAGCTTTCAGGGAGGATTGACGGAACAACATGTGATTCTCTTTGGCTCAGCACTTTGAGGAAATAGCTGACAGGGACTGCAAGGAAATATGGATGACAGATTTGCCTTGGCACAAATGTACTGCCTCAGTGCATCTTGCCTTTGGATGCTTAAGTCAGAGATATTATGTTAAATCTGCCGCCCCCCCCACGCTGGAGAGGATTTTCCAGTCAAAATGTCCTCAGTTTGAATATTTTCCTTTAATAGAGGAGAACCAACAGCCTTCTTTCTGTCTGTTCTTGTTTGCTGTTCTGCTTCGCTCCATAGTCTCCATCGCTTTTGTCTCGTATCTGTCATGGTTGAGAGACAGAAAACCATTCTAGTATTTAATCTCTTCTGCGCAGTTCAGCTTTGGTTTAGCATTTAGCAGGTCGTCTTCAGATTAAGAAGGAAACCTTAAGAGGGTTTGAGACGTTCTTAAAGAAATCACACCTTTAATAGTGATGGTTTGTTTTTGAAATTAGATTTTACTAAAAACATTTGTCTAATTTTCTGTGACGCTGACTTCCTTTAGTGTGGCTGTATATAGATAAAAATGGGTAGAACCTAGGGCTGGATGATAGTTTGAGATAGTTTGAGATTTCAGTTTCAGTACAAACCATTCATTAGTACATCCCATATATATTGGGGTGGCGTGGAGGGGGGCTGAGAGGGGCAACGGTGTACTGTGGTCATGCGTGTCGCAGAACTTTGCCTAATGCTACGTTCACACCGGACGCAGCAAAAGCAGCAAAATCACGTCTGCTGCTTCATTTTTACTGCTTGTACCAGTTAGTTCTGACGTGCGGCTGAAGCAGCTTTGCTGCTCTGGCTGCGCGGTGCAAAAGTGTGTCTGACGCGCGTTGGGCGGAGCTTCACTATCCTTTCTCTGCCTTGCAGCTATATTTGCTGTGATCAGTGGGAATATAGTAGTGGAGAAAATCCACCTGAAAATATAATCAGTGCAGTCAGTTCATCCAGATTACCATCCTGCCTTCCAATATTATTTCTGTCGAAGCCGCTCAGACCCCCACATACCAGCGGTGCGCTGTCAGTAGGAATCCCATTAAAAAGCAGCCTCTGGCCAGGTCACCTCCTCGCGGTTCACCGCGGCGGCTGGTAGGTGTTTTTCATCAAAATAATCTAAACTGCAGGCAGCAGGATAATAAAAGCGAACATGTTTTGCCTGCAGGTTTCAGTATTTTAAGTTAATTTAGGCGTTAATAAACTTTCAGAGGAGTGATCATAGCGCTCTGATCATCAGCGATATGTCTCTCTCCCTGCCAGCTCCCAGATCAGCTTCTCTGATTGGTTGACGCGGCGCGTCGAGCAGCAAAAGTAAAATTTTTCCATCTCGAGCAGCAGCGCGTTTGCGGCGTGTCAGATGCTTAAGCGCGCCCGACGCGCTGTTCAGCTGCTCAGACGCGCTGCGGGACCTTTTGCTGCGCCTTGACGCGAGTCAACCACTGACTTTGCATGTAAACTCGCTGCTTCTGCCGCGCCTGCTGCATCCGGTGTGAACGTTGCCTTATGGCTGCCAAGGGCCCCAACCTGTAGGCAGTTCTCTATAGCACTGCCTTTATTCTGTGGAAAGAAAGGAACCGCAATGGGTAGAGAGAATACAGGCAGAATACAGTTTGAGATATAAAAAAAAAATACCTCTGCACGAGAAAAGCACATGTACCACGAGCCAGACATTTCAGCAGAAGGAAAACATTGGAGGCTGGAGCCACATGAAAGTCAATCTGTCATTTCAGATGTCTAGATTCTAGACGCTTACCACATTCCATTCTCTTTCCATGTGGCGAATTGAGGTTATGCTCAGATGTGTGACTTGACCAGAGGTCCAATGTTGTGGCGTAGTAAGACACAGATTACAGCACTGATTTGCACTGATTCCCTGCATTCATCGTCCAAATTAGGGAGCGCTGAGTTAGAGGAAAAATTGGGGCCAAGAATGTTGTATCACGGATCAAGATTAGCGAGCAGCTGTTTGAAGTCAGGTTTTTCAGCTGCAGACAACAGCAGCATATCCATCGCTATGAAGCATTAGCTTGTCCATTATATTGAAATGGCTTTTTAGGAATCATATGTCATGGTTGTCTATCGTAATCATCAGGTGTCAACCGGAAGTTGTGGGATATGCCACTTTAAATGGTCTTGATGAGCCAAAGACCAACGCTTACATTTCTAGATCCAAATCAGAGGAAGTAGAGAATTCTAAGGGATGGAACGGTTTATGAAAACCGTCCGAACCGTTCAATTCAACTGTCTCGGTTCGGTTCGTGTGTGTTGTGTTCGGTTCATGCGCTGCTCCTTTTTCTCATAGGCGAAGCGTTTATACTCCAGAGCAGAAGGTGGCGGTACTGCGACCAAAGCCAACCACCAGTAGTAAACAAGAAGAAGAAGAAGCGAAGCAGCGTAGCCGGGTGTAGCAGAATGTCAGGCTAACAATCAACATATACCGAACCGAAAACCGTGAACCAAACCGTGGATTTTGTGAACCGTTCCACCCCTAGATTCTAAGATAGGAATATCTATTCAAAGCGAGCCACATTTTGAAGCTTTGTATAAAACTTTCCATCCAGCCGACTCTACCAAGCTGAAGACCACTACCACCGCCTCAAGGAGCGCATCTTCCACCACTACTGCTTCTCGCACTCGGACAACGGCAGCCAAGCCAGCTGCGCCGTCCTCCACCACGGCCACCACAGAGAAGAAGCCTCTGGTGCCCCGCACCACACGGCCCACTTCATCGATCACATCCACCACGACTAGCACCGCCACCAGGCCCGCGGCTCGCCCCGGCACGGCTCCGGCTCCTGACATTCGCAATGTCCGCTCGAAGATTGGCTCCACCGACAACATGAAGTACCAGCCCGGCGGTGGGAAGGTAGGTCCTGCTGTGACGTCTTATATCGCTGTCCCGCTCCCAGCATGCTAGTTGGGATCTTGATGCTTGTTTACTAACTGTAAGTATTGTCAAACTGCAGAGTCTGTGATTAACATGGTTTGGAACCTTCTGGTGATTATCTCTTAACTTCTCTTTCTTCTTAACCCTCTTCTCTTGGAGGGGGCGTCTCCAAGAGCAACCAGTTGTTAACTTGTTTGGTCCGGGTCGATTCAACTCTCCTTTCATTATATGGAATGGGGAGTCATTTGGGTTCTTTGTTAACCTACACTTTTCTAAGCCAAAACAATTTGTCTTGTGTAGCGCATCTTAACAAGTCATGTAGGGCACCTCAAAAAGTGCCATTTTTAGATCCATAAAGAAAACTAAACCGTTGGTTATTTGTGTGCGTATGGCTGGTAAAAACCGATGCATGGATGCTGGACAATCTACCATGACATTCAGGAACACTGGTTATGAACCAAAACTATGAGAGCAGGAAGAGTGAAGGGAGGAAATTACCTGCAACCAACAGAAATCATCTCAGTCTAATTATTCTTGGATTCATCGTTTTTCTCACCTCTCACACCGTCTCCTGCATGTTAGCTAACTTCCATTAACCAAAGCTTTGACTTGAAACAAAGGAAGCATGACTTTCTGGTAGCCGGTGTTCTTTCAGATCACCATACCCCATCAGACCAGCATACCCACAGTCAATATGCATGAGCAAGACATCAGATTTGTGTTTATCCCTTTAGCCTATCACTCAGACATGGGCAATGTGGAGTCAACAAGTCATCTCCATGTCGTATTTAATCTCCCCAGCCAATTAACCAGGTGAGTCCAATCTGCACAGGTTAATTCATGGTGAAGATTGGACTCACCTGCTTCAGTGGCTGGGTAGAACAAATACATGACATGGAGATGACTTGTTGACTCCACATTGCCCATGTCTGCTATCACTTGAGTTTTGTAAGAAAAATACACTTTCAACTTCCTCGACAGGCGTGTTTCCCTTAACCTCAATCAGATAAACGCCCGTTGAGGTAGTTTAAAGTGCATTTTTTGTACAAAACTAAAGTGATAAACAGGGATAAACTAGTGATAAATTAAAGCGAAAAACTGTGATAAACTGAAGTGATAAACTAAAGGGATAAACTAAAGGGATAAACTAGTGATAAATTAAAGAGAAAAACTGTGATAAACTAAAGTGATAAACTAAAGGGATAAACTAGTGATAAATTAAAGAGAAAAACTGTGATAAACTAAAGTGATAAACTAAAGGGATAAACTAGTGATAAATTAAAGAGAAAAACTGTGATAAACTAAAGTGATAAACTAAAGGGATAACCTGAAGGGATAAACTAAAGGGATAAACTAAAGTGATAAACTAGGGATAAACTAAAGGGATAAACTAAAGGGATAAACTAGTGATAAATTAAAGAGAAAAACTGTGATAAACTAAAGTGATAAACTAAAGTGATAAACTAAAGGGATAAACTAAAAGGATAAACTAAAGTAATAAACTGAAGTGAAAAACTAAAGGGATAAACTAAAGGGATAAACTAAAGGGATAAACTAAAGGGATAACCTAAAGGGATTAACTAAAGGGATAAACTAGTGATAAATTAAAGAGAAAAACTGTGATAAACTAAAGTGATAAACTAGGGATAAACTAAAGGGATAAACTAAAGGGATAAACTAGTGATAAATTAAAGAGAAAAACTGTGATAAACTAAAGTGATAAACTAAAGTGATAAACTAAAGGGATAAACTAAAGGGATAAACTAAAGTAATAAACTGAAGTGAAAAACTAAAGGGATAAACTAAAGGGATAAACTAAAGGGATAACCTAAAGGGATAAACTAAAGGGATAAACTAGTGATAAATTAAAGAGAAAAACTGTGATAAACTAAAGTGATAAACTAAAGTGATAAACTAAAGGGATAAACTAAAGGGATAAACTAAAGTAATAAACTGAAGTGAAAAACTAAAGGGATAAACTAAAGGGATAAACTAAAGTGATAAACTAAAGGGATAACCTGAAGGGATAAACTAAAGGGATAAACTATTGAGATAAACTAAAGGGATAAACTAAAGGGATAAACTAAAGAGATAAACTAAAGGGATAAACTAAAGAGATAAACTAAAGGGATAAACTAAAGAGATAAACTAAAGAGATAAACTAAAGAGATAAACTAAAGAGATAAACTAAAGTGATAAACTAAAGGGATAAACTAAAGGGATAAACTAAAGAGATAAACTAAAGTGATAAACTAAAGTGATAAACTAAAGGGATAAACTAAAGGGATAAACTAAAGAGATAAACTAAAGAGATAAACTAAAGTGATAAACTAAAGGGATAAACTAAAGAGGTAAACTAAAGTGATAAACTACAGTGATAAACTAAAGAGATAAACTAAAGAGATAAACTAAAGGGATAAACTAAAGTGATAAACTAAAGGGATAAACTAAAGTGATAAACTAAAGTGATAAACTAAAGTGATAAACTAAAGGGATAAACTAAAGAGATAAACTAAAGTGATAAACTACAGTGATAAACTAAAGAGATAAACTAAAGAGATAAACTAAAGGGATAAACTAAAGGGATAAACTAAAGGGATAAACTAAAGAGATAAACTAAAGTGATAAACTAAAGGGATAAACTAAAGAGATAAACTAAAGTGATAAACTAAAGTGATAAACTAAAGGGATAAACTAAAGGGATAAACTAAAGAGATAAACAGGAATAAACTAGCGATAAATTAAAGCGAAAAACTGTGATAAACTAAAGTGATAAACTGGTTTTGACTGTGGGTTTGCTGGTCTGACAGACATCTTGTGCTCCATTATGCTCTCCTTAACAGTTGCACACACGATCCTCCGTCCCAGAGGCCTCATATAGGTACACAATGTTTAATGTTCTTGTTGCGGCCCTTTTTTAAGCCAAAACCTTGTTTGGTTGTCGAAAAAATTGCATCATCCACCCATTTTAGTCGATGTTGCAACTCACAGTTTCCGCTCTTTAACAGACTTGGATTAAACCAAAATAGACACGGTTCTTCTTCACTTCCATATTTCATTCAGACCGGTTGCTGGTTTTCCCTCTTTATTCGGACGTCTGCCTTCGCTTTCCATGTTTTCACACTTTCTCCGGTATTCTTTTGATCCATTATAACTCACTTCCACAAACTTCTCTGTGCACGTTGGCCGCTTCCTTCTCTCCATTTGTCGTCACGTTTCTTTCATTGATCATGGGGGGCGGGGCTTCTCTCCTCAGGTGTCTTCTGTTACTCAGAAAAGGGCCGTGCCTTCCAAAGAAAGCAGCCAGAGCAAAGTGAGTTCCCCTCCAAACGCATTTCCTCATCTCCCACTCATTCACTCATTCATTCATCCATTCATTCATTCATTCCGTTTTCCTGTAAATCAGCTCCGTTTGGCACTGATCTATATCTTATCCTCAGAGACAACAGGATTATTACAAATGTGTTGACATTTCTTTTTTTTTACTTTGAAGATCTTATAAAGCACAGATAAATGTATGAAGTGAATTTTCTTCAATTATTTTTCAAGCAAAGCACAGGTTCTTTATGCCGTCTAAATTCCACTGCTGGTTTCTTCACTCAGTTTTACTTTTAAAACACGAAAAAAACAAGAAAAAAACAATAACATCTGCACTTTTTCAGAGATGGTTGAACTACAACGGTCTACGTTCTGTGAGGGTGATACTTCTGTGGTTTGTTCCCAGTTTACTGAGAAGAGAAGAATTGAAGAGACAGAATATATATATTTGTATTTATTTATTTTTTTCTCCAGAAAGAAAAAAAATCAAAACTCACTAGTGAATTTTGTTAAAAGCCAGCATAAAATGTTCTTTTTCCATCTGTTCCATGATCTCCCTACCCATTATGTTTATCTGCTGTGTATTTGGCGCCACCTGTTGAACGGCGGATGCATTGTCCCATTTTGCACTCAACTAAACTCATGATGTGTTACCACAGAGCTAAGAGACGCATTAGTGAGCAGGTACAGACAATATTCCACCATACTGTGTGCATTTCTGCTTTAATGCAACACAACAATTACCAAAACACCTTTATGCCTTAAAGCAATTGGATACTTTAGGAAGGTTCATCCTTATGCATATCAGAATCCCAACTTGAGTTTGTGTTTATTATTTTTTTCTTTTCTACTTTTCTACTAGGAAATTAGACAATCTGAAGGCGACCATAGTGGTTTTTCAGCTCTTCAAATAAATGTTCTCGGTTGCATGTGAAGTTGTACTCTGTTTATTGTCCTGTCAGAGTAACCGATTTATATGTTATCTCTTTATAACATGCTAATGATTAACGATGGTGGCCTCCTCCTTAGATTTTGTTCCACTTTGCTGGTCTTTGCTTCTCCACCTGCTGTTTAGAAATCAGATTATGTATTCTTAGTGTGTGGTTTACACCTCAGGGTGCAAGTTTCAGTGTTCTAAACTGTGCATTATATCCCCCATCATGTTTGAAAAAGCACATAATCATCTCAAACCTAGAGTTTGGATCAGAAGCAGATTCAGACAAAGTCTGGACCTTTGTGGCTTTGCTGTGGTACCACTTGGTACTTATGGTAGCTGTCACCATATTTCTGTTTTTCTTGGACACAGGTTTCCTCTTTCCTCTGTGGTGTGACAATGCTGTGGTCCTTAAGTCTCCATCTAGCTGGAGACTCAGATGCTATCACAGCCAAATGCTCTGCAATGGCAGCACCCTAATTCAGCAGCTAGAAACTCAAACACATCTTAAAGTATTTTTCTTTGCAACCCAATCTCTCCCAGTGAAGTTTTTCGTCATAAAGTGTTAACAGTGGTTCCCTCAAAACCCAAGCAGATCTGAAGGCTCCCCTATATACCCATCAGTGAGGCCCAAAGAGCAACAGAGTAGATTTTCCCTGTTTGATATCCTAAGAAGTCTTGTTATCTTAGAGTCACATTTAAAACAGTTCAGGATGAAAAGTCTTTCTCCTACCGAGCAGTGAGACATTCTATATGTGGTCATAAAAATTCAACTGTCCCTGCAAACTCAGCGCAGGCGTCCATGGACATGTGTTTGCGCAGCTATGTGGGGCCTTTTTTCTTTTTTTATACCAGTCTACAAACTTATTTAGTCATAGTTCCTACTTTATTATGTTGTTATAGAAAAGAGGTTCCCTGAATTTTGCTGCTAATAAACTGAAATGAAAAACTATAAAAAAAAAATGGATAAATAGGCATTACTGTCAAAGCTGTTGACATTATCATCAACTGTGGATACCCCTCCCCCAATGTACTTGCACTATATACAAGAATTACAAAAAAAAAAACTTTTTCCTGGGAAATAGCGTCCAAAGCAGCATCTTTAGACATTAAGGTGGTGAACCTTGCTTTTTCCTGATGTCTTGTCCTTTCTAACCTCGGCTGTGGTACCAACTTCTACTGTCCTCCTGTCTCCCTCACCTTCTGTTCCTCCTTTCCTTTTTAACTCTTGTGGTCCCCTCCCCCTCCTCGGCCCCTCCCCTGCCTCCTCTCTTCTTGCCACTGTGCTGTGTCCATGTAGGTTCAGATAGTCTCCAAAAAGCTGGACTTCAGCCATGTCACCTCACGCTTGGGCTCCAAGGACAATATGAAGCATGTTCCTGGTGGAGGGAATGTAAGTACTGTCTGGCCCACAGGTCCCAGTCAGGGGGGCCACAAACAAAAACGTTCCCACCAGAAGGGGTGAGAAATCAGATTTTTAACCCCTAAACACACTTAGTTGGTGGTTCCCTCTAAAATCATTTGAAGACATCCAAGTTACCAACAAATACAAATCTGTGCTTGGGTGTCATTACAAGATAGGTCACTTCTGATCTACCATAAGGCCAAAATACAGGATTTAAGGTTTATTGACTAAAAACCGGTGGGTGACGTCACTGACGCTCAGACAGGAAGTACACGCCCAAAGAACCTGCTCCCCCTGCTACAGAACATGCTTTACCTTCCCCACGCTTCCTTAAGCTTCTCCTCTCTCACCTTGTTCTGCCTCTAACTCACTAAGTAAATGCGGTTGTCTGGTCTCTGATTGGCTGTGCTTGTTCTGTTTTGTTTGTGGCTCTGTCACGTTTTTCAGCGCACTATCATAGGATTTTTTTTATTTGTTTTGTTTTCTGGGCCTTTTTTCAAATAAAAAAAAATCCCCACAATCAAAGTTATATTCCTCAATACTAGGGATGTAAATCACATCCATCATGGCGATTCGATTCAGTATCGACTTCCTGACCCAACGATTCGATTATTTTCGATACTCAAGAATACACCACGATTCGATTTGATTAATCGGTAAAAAAATTTTTTTTATTATTTTTTTTTTTTTACACCTTACAGGCTAAACAAAGTTTCCAGTTTGAAATAAATCAATGAAAGCTGTAATATAGTTATGCATTTTTTTTTTTTTTAGAAACAACAGCAAATAATAGAAGTAGAAAAGTTGCTTCAAAAAATACTGCACATAATCAGTGCAATGAGTGCAATACCTCGGCTCCAGACGTCCCCCCCCCTCCACAGACGCTCCGCTGCTCCTCTCCCAGATTGTAGCTGATCGCAAACAGTGCAGCAGACAGGAGGCTTGTTTTGTTTTTATGACCGAAATTGCGGAAAACAACTCGTGAAGTTTGACCCGCTAGAAGAGCGAGGTGCGCGAGAACGCTGGGACCCTTTTTCCACCAGGATCTCCGCTCTTTTTGGCCCTCATGTCCCTCCGTCGTTGGACTAAACTCGCCCCCACTTCCTCGTCGCCTCGGCCGTATCTAGACCCACAGCGTGTAGCACAGACCACGCTTCAATACTGAGCATAATTTAAAAATGTCTGCGTCAAGCTCACTGCAACACACTGCTGTAAGAGTATAACCAGGAAGCGAGGTAGGAGGGCAAAATAGGTTTAGCGCCACCGCAGCACGGGAGGGAGAATTACGTCCAGGAGCAAATGGATAATGGATTATCTTGCGGACGTGTCGATGCATCGGATCGTTGGTTTTTGGATCGACGCATCGATACAAAACGATTATTATTTACACCCCTACTCAATAGAGAAATCTTTTAAAATTGAATGGAGAGCTTCTCACTGTATGATGACCTGAGAGCTTCGGACGCTACGGCAGATCTGCTTCGATTGGTGACATGGATAGATGTGATGCTTTAGGCAAAATAATTCTCCAGACTTTCTGACCATTTCTTTTTCCCCAACTAGGGAACTGATAAAGCGGTGATGGCACAAAATCACAAAATATATAAATGTAGCATTAAATGCAAATAGAAATATAGATGAACAATCCATAACTATCTGTCAAAAGAAGCCCAGCTAAAACTAAAAGATGAAGCTACTATGGCGAGAAAAACCATCTGATTTTGGTTTAGTTCTGTATTTTTATTTTTTTTTTTTGTGTGAAGCACTAAACAATGCAGAGTTTATTTGGCTTCCTTAATTATTACTATTTATATAGCAGTTTTATTCTAAATTAATCTGTTTTAAACTTTGTTTAGTAGCCTTCTTTCAGCCAGCTGACCAGCAGTTATCAGTAAAGTGGCGCTTTGCTGCTTTACTATTTGCAGCTATGAAACTCTGTTCCTTTAGGAAGAATGTTAAAGTTTTTACAACTTTTTGTAACTGTAACATTGACCGTGGTGTAAAAAGTAAAACCCTTGTTTTTTCTTTTTAAGATGAAGAAGCCTTAAATTCAAATGTGCTTCCAGAATAAAGATTGAACTAAAAAATGAATCTTTATTTCCAATTTACCAGGTGCAGATTCTCAACAAGAAGGTGGATGTAAGTAAGGTGACTTCAAAGTGCGGCTCCAAGGACAACATTAAGCACAAACCTGGTGAGCCGACGCCTGCTCTGATCCGTTAGTTCACAGAAGAAACACCAGACTCTCTGTACCTCAGAATATATACTCCTGCAGACTGATTTAGGTTAAAAAACTTTAAATGTTTCCTTTATTCATATAATTGCACGAAACAAAGACGAGCTACATTCACACTGAATGCAGAGACTGGATTGATGGATTTCTGTGTTATGCCAATGAAAAGTCCAGTTTAGTAGAGATACGGTTTATTCGGTGTGTAAAGTACATTTTGATTGATAAGAATGGTAAATAATGTAGATTATAGCGAAGTGTCACTGTTAGTGGACACGGTGGACCAACTGCACTGGAAAAATAATCTAGAAATAAGTAAAAATTTCTGAAATTAAGTGTATTTACCCTTAATTGGAGCAGGTAAATTAGATAGTTTGCCAATAGAATGAGTATTTTTACTCTTAAAATAAGATAATAAGATAATATGCTCTTCAAATAAAACAATGCAATTGTGTTTTCTTATTTTTAGTGTAAATTGTCTTGCTCCATTGGCAAAATGGCACTTTTACCTCCTCAATCCAAGAACAAATGCACTTATTTTAAGGAAAAATGACTTTTCTAGATTTCGATTTTTCCAGTGTGATAAAGTTGCGCTGTGAGTCGACGCAATAAAGCGAAGGAACTCTGGAGTAGCTGCGTTTGCCGGACTGATTACGCAAAGCTGGATTGCAAGAAGGCGAGTGGTTTTGCAGAGAGGCGGATTTTTGAAGGAGAACAAACCAATTTTTTATGTTCCTAGTTATCATTATTACACAATCCACAATGAAAAGAAAGTTTTTGGGCAGAAACTGCACATGATGAATGCTAATGGGAATTTTTTTATTACATCATATTGAATTAAGCGTTCATTACCTTCTATTGTGTTCCTATAAATTAAATATCACACATGCTCTCCTCCAGCTCCAAGGAAGTCAGAGCAGAACCAGATGGGAGGAACAGCAGAGGCTGTAGGCGTTAGTTTGCGCAGGAATGGAGCAGGGCGGTTAGGGAGGATGTGGGATTTCAGGGTAAAGGTTGACAACGGGGAGAGATAAATACATGTAAAGCGGAGCTATAAGTAGGTGTGGATGTGCAGATAGAGCGCAGCAGTTAAAAAAACTGGAACCTCTGACAATAGGCGTCACATTTACCAATTAGCCACCAGATGTGGTGGTGATTAAGGCTGAAGGAGCACAACAGAGGAACAGATATTTCTCTAATCTCCTGAGGTTGATCAGTCCCCCTGCTGTGGTTCATCAGCTCTGGATGCTGGACAGAAACCTGGAAGTTTTCATCCGGTCACGGGTCCAGGTGCACATGTTGGTGCTAGCACACTGGAAGGGGATTTGGTTATTCAAAGGATCCCATCTCCTGTGCTGTTGGGTTTCAAATACAGAGCTGTGATTCGCTCATTAAAATCAAGATCAGGTTAGCAGAGATGAACTAGCAAGCAGATAGATGCTGATGGAGCGAGCTGGATGCAGTTCGCCACAATATCTGGACAAAAGCCAAGCAGGAAAAAGGCAGAATATCAAGTGACCAACGCCAACCAAAAACTTGCAGCTTTCGCGTTCTGTCAGAATATACCTTTTTTTGTAATAAATTTAGGTATTAAGCATGTGGCTACTTTAGTATTAAAGGTGAGATTATCAGGCTGATTGTTCTTTTGTGATGCAGGTGGAGGCACCACAAAGAACGAATCCCACAAAGTGAACTTTAGAGAAGATACTCAGGCCAAAGTCGGGTTGCAGGACAATGTGAGCAGTTCTCCTGGAGGAGAGAACGTCAAGGTGAGGCTGACATGGAAAGACTGTTTGAAGTTAGAGAGCTGTTGGTTATAAGAACAAGTCCTGTTTGGAAATCTGATTTCTAAGCATGGCCTCTTTTAAACTTCAAAGTCTAACTTATTATTAACAGGAATAATTCAAAACTTAACATGGAAGATGCTTCCTTAACAGAGCCATAGATGTTAGTTAAATAATTGTGTAAAAAAAAAAAAAAGCTAATTCTATCCTCCAGAGGTCTGGATTAGTCATAAATTACCGCATGTCGTCTAACAACAGTGTCTAACTTCTCTTGCGCCTCTTCTCCTGTTAATACGGTAAAGCCCTGGGGAGCGTCCGGCTCCAGGCTGCACGTGATCCAAATGAGCCAATGAGCTGTCAGTCTGGGTTGCTGCTGCTGCTACTTTTAGACACAGCAGGCAAACCTGTGGCAAGCCGGGCGATGGGAAAGAAGGAGAAGACCATGAGAAAAAGAGAGCAGAGAAAGTGTGGACTGCTGGAAGAACTGCGGTGAACTGGTGAAAGAAAAGTGAAATGGCGTGCTCAAAGATGACCCTGCACATTTAGAGGATGTTTGGCTCAACCTGCTGCTGTGAAGCAGGATTCTCCACCATGAACAGAATCAACAATAAATCTGGATCCAGGCTCAGAATGAGCTCCTTGATATGTGCTTGAGAATGGCTTAGTCTCCGGTTAAACCCAGGTTTAAAGCCTTGCAGGGCAGCCTAAAGCCCACTGCCAACATTAAGACAGAAATATTAAAACGGTCATTTCAGGTGTTTTATAAAAAAAAATTTAGATTTTAAAATGTAAAAATGTCCTATTTTTTTAAATATTTTTTTTATTTAAAAATTAAATGTAAAACATGGATGCATAAACACTTCATTTTATTTCAGTGTTAAATTCTGTTTAAGGTAACAGATTATAATTAAAAATTTCTCCGGACCTTTACTGGTTGATGATTTTCTTTATTTGGACCCCGCAGCTCTAGATGTAGATTTTCTTGTTTTCTGAGGTATTTTCCTTTTAATTCCTAAATGAGTGAGATTTTACCCTAATAAATAGCAAGAATATGTCTTTAGCATCTATACCATGTTTACCATGATTAGTATTGTGTCCAGATGCAGCATTTTTATATCAGTTGTTTTTGGATTATAGATTAAATTTATAGATTTTACAGAAAATATCAATATTTTTGACAACCCTTCTATTTTACCAGCTGTAGTGGTAAAGAGTGCTGCCTTAATGGAGCAATAGGTGGCGCTGTGCTCATCTCCACACAATGCATGCTCCTTGATTTAATGTCAGAACAAGATTAGTCTTTTTCAGCATGCTGACTGGCAGTGTGTAGCAACAGATTCTAATGGTACAGCTCTGATATTTCTGTTGTTTTAAAACTGTTTAAAAACATTTTTTCTCATGGTTTATGTTTACCAGATTTAGCTTTATAGTTTAGGTTGCTTTCAGCCTCACGGCTAAATGGGAACAGTTTATCCAGGTTGTTCTGAACCAGCTGCCATGTTCTGCTGTGTATTTTTAGGCTGAGGGGCCCCAACAGACCGAGGGGACTGGGACTCCCATGATTAGCAGCCTGGCTCTGGCCCCCGAGTCAGGGCCAGGAGGGGACCCTAATACCCAGGAGAATGGGTTGAAGGATGGAGCTCCCAGTGATGGTGAGGGCCTCCGGGAGCCTCAAGCTCTGGACTCCCAAATGCCAGAAACAAGTAAGTCTGTGTTTGTTTAAAGTCATGAGTTCAGAGTCGGTTCCTTACGTTTGATTCCCTCAAAGACGGAAGAGCCTGATGGAAAAAGTCAAAGATGCTACAAATTTTATATTCCCCGAAATCATCTTTCTCAGTCATCCAGGTCATAGTCATTTAAAAAGTTTTTATAAAAAAGTCCACAGAACTTGGTTTTGAAGTTTGAAGACGTTTCGCTTCCCGTCCAGGGAGTTTTTTTTCATTCAAAATGTCAGAAATAGCCTTGAGTTCCAGACTTTTTAGAGGGGACTAAAAACAAACCTGAAGAACGAGTACGTCCTTATGGAATCGGGGTTGTTTTGTTTCTTTTTTAGCATCTATGACCTCCCTTTCAGAAACATAGACAGCTTTTGGTTATTACAGGCTAACAAAGAACCCAAACGGCCCCCATTTCATAAGGGTGGACCCGTTCGTCCGGTTCAATTTGCATGTTTTCTAAGCCAAAACAAGTTTTGTTTTTAGTCCACTCTATAAAACCTGGAACTAAACGCTATTTCTGACATTTTGAATTGGAAAAGCTTCCTGGATGGGAAGCGAAAGGTCTTCAAACTTGGAAACAAAGTCCAGTGGATTGTTTTCTTACTTTTTTGGAATGACTTTGAGGATAGAGGAAAATTTTATAGCTACAAATTTAACTCCTCCCAGCCAATGACTGGCGTGTTAGCCCACTCTCATTCTCTCATTCTGTGGAAAAAGAGAAACTTCCACCTGCCTTCTGAGCCTCTGTGCTTCCTGACAGCTGTAAATACACTAAGGACGTAACGCTTATGTGCGTGGTTTTAAAAGATGCATCAACGTTTGCTCCACAGCTATGGGTGTTTGCGATTCAGGGGCTGCATCCTTTCACAGGGTTCGTTCTATGTGGGCCTTACCTCAAAAACAATGAAAGCCGGAGATGATCAGCTGTTATTTAGGATGGCTTAGCCTTCAGCAGCTAACCACGCCCTCAACTCAGCATAGCCTTGCTCGCCTAGCAAGCAAGAGGCGTAGATCTGCGCTCTCACTGATCAATTGAAGAACTTTGACCTCTAACATGGCAAAGGTTTTGAAATTACAAGTAATATATCCTGTTTAGATCACCTATAGGTCAGTGCCTTAACCATCAGGTTAGAAATAAAACATTTTAGCATGTTAGCTTGTTAGCTTATCACAACTACTAAAAATTGCTGATGATTTATCTCTGGAGGCCATTTTCTTTTTTATTCCTTACCAAACAGTAGCCTACAATGACTTAAATAACAACTTCAACCTAATTTAGGCGAAGCTTAATGTAAACAACAGCGCGGGACACATGTATTACGCTGTTAGCATAAACAACTTGACTGATCAAAAAAAGAGTGCTCTGTAACATACGCACGCTGCTGTGTTGAGCTTACGAGTTTTAACGCGTCTGGTGTATTTTCTTCGTACTTCGACAAGACACTCCAAATCTTGACCGACGTTCACCCTCATTTCCCAATTACGCTGCTAGCATAGACAAATTGACTGATCATAAATGAGAGCACTCACTTGCGTGACCTACGCACAATGCTGTGTTGAGCTTACGAGTTGTAACGATGTATTTTCTCCGTACGTAGACAAGACACTCCAAATCTTGACCGATGTTTACCCTCATTTCGCAATTATGCTGCTAGCATAGACAAATTGACTGATCATAAATGAGAGCACTCACATGCGTGACCTACGCACGATGCTGTGTTGAGCTTACGAGTTTTAACGCATCTGGTGTATTTTCTCCGTACATCGACAAGATACTTCAAATCTTGACCGATGTTTACCCTCTTTTCGCAATAATGCTGCTAGCATTAACGACTGATCATAAATGAGAGCGCCCACATGCGTGACCTACGCACGCTGTTGTGTTGAGCTTACAAGTTTTAACGCGTCTGGTGTATTTTCTTCGTACGTTGACAAGACACTCCAAATCTTGACCGACGTTCACCCTCATCTCCCAATTACGCTGCTAGCATAGACAAATTGACTGATCATAAATGAGAGCACTCACTTGCGTGACCTACACACGATGCTGTGTTGAGCTTACGGGTTGTAACGGTGTATTTTCTCCGTACGTCGACAAGACACTCCAAATCTTAAACAATGTTTACCCTCATTTCGCAACCTCACTTTGCATAGCAAATCAACACATCGTCTGCATAATCGCAATACATTATGCGATTATGTGTTATCCGGTTGGACACTTAATATAAATTTAAAACACTACTAGCCATTTGTTATATCTTGAAGGGCGGACCATGAAATTTAACATAATAAAAAGAATTCGTAATTTTCTCAAAAGCCCATCAGTAAGCACTGACTCTAAGATTTTATATTTGTATCTTTTTGCCACGATTTTTACTAAATGTCTTTAATTCGTCACAGTTTAGTAAAAGGAAAATAAAACTAGCATAGTTAACGATGACTTCCGACATTTTTTGGGTCGTTGGAGCTAATGTTAGCCCTCATTGTGTCTGAATGTGTTTAAGCTAATCATGTCTGCCGTCCATCTGATTATATTTTGACTTTTTATCTTACAGGCATCTAATTCTGCTATCCCTCTGCCCTCCTCATTTCAACTGCCCCCCTTTAACTTCACCGCCTCCCCTCCCCCCCTTATTTTCCTTACTGTAAATCTTTTTTTTTTTCTCCCTGCCTCACTTTTACTCCCTCCCTCCCCAACCCCCCTCCTCCCCTAACCTTAACCCCTCTGCTGCAGATTGAGTCTTTCAAGCTCAACTTCCGCGAGAATGCTCGCTCTCGCACGGACCACGGCGCTGACATCACCATTCGGCCAGCCCCCCCTCTCTCTCTCCCCTCCGGCGACGGATCCTGTTCTTCATGCACGACAACCAAAGCCACCACCCAGATTCTCGCAGTGTTTCCTCCCCCCTTCTTTGCTGCACCTACAGGTGGAGGTCCGTGGCGGACGGCAGTAGGAGCAGCAGCTCTGCGATGGGATCCTGACCTTTTTAAACCCCGTTTATCTCAAATCTGTTGTTGCAAAAATTAGAATTGTTCAGTAGCTCTTCTCTCACTTCATCATGCGTCATTACCGTCACCCCTTTCATATATTTTACCTGAAGTAACTCTGCTTTGGTCCTGATCGGTACTCTATGTGAAGGAAAAAAACCCAGGACGGCTTTTACTTCTGAGGAATCGTCAACTCTTCTAGAAAACCACCTTCATCTCCTGCTTTTCCTCGTGACTTTAGGAACGTTTTCCCTCAGTAAGCGCATACTTAAATAATTCAGTGTCCATCTCATCATGGCTTCCTCCAACTCTCTCTTTCATCCTCATGTACAAGCTAACAAAAAAGAAAAAAGAAGTCTGAATCGTTTTAACTCTTTATTCTCTGTGTTTGTGACGAGGTGTTTGATTGAAAAGTTTTTATGTAGAAATGAGATTCTGATACGTTTGGATCAACTTTTTTTTTTTTTCCTGCTTTCCATGTTGTCCCTTGATGATAGAACTAGGTTGTATTTATTCAATACTCTTAATAAAAACAGCAATATAACAGGTGTTTTATTTTCATCGAATAGTGCTCAGAAAATCTTTGAAAAACACGCACATGTTCCTGCAAACTGAGAAGGGAGGAAGAAGGTTGTAGAATGCTGAGGTAAAAATTGATAAATCGAAATCTAGATAAGTCATTTTTTCATAAAATAAGTGCATTTGTTCTTGAATTGAGTAGGTAAAAAAAATTGCCAATGGAACAAGACAGTTTACACTTAAAATAAGAAAACACAACTGCATTGTCTTATTTCAAGTGCATTTTATCTAATTATCTTATTTTAAGAGTTAAAAAAAACTAATTCCTTTGGCAAACTATCTCCTTTCCCTACTCAAATTAAGGATAAATACACTTAAGTTAAGAAATTTTACTTATTTCTAGATCGTTTTTCCAGTGAAAAAGATTAATTTTACAGTTGGGGTTAAATATCTGATGTGTTTTGACTAAAAGGAGGAAAAAATGTTCGGCAGAAGGCCAGCTGAAGCTGAGAATCATCAAACGAGTCCAGAGGGAGATGAGGAAGATGCTTGAATTGTTTGCGCGTCTGAAATGTGCCTCCTGTTTGTTTTACCTTAAAAGAGAAACCCAGTGGATAAGAGTGATGCAGTCTCACGCCTAACAGAGAAAAAGATGAAGAGATGTTCTGGTTCTGGTTTCTACACCAAGCCGCTCTGCTAGACTCTATGTTCCATTTCAGATGTTTCTGTGACAGTCTGGTTTGCATGTTTTTAGCAGTTTCTACAATATTCAGCTGCATTTAAAATCTAATTCTGCAGTTCTGTGTGTTCGGTGCTCAGCTTGTTGCCGTGTCGTCACTCTCTCTTCTCTTGTAGCAACCTGTTGCCTCCTGATGCCTTTCTAATGCATAGCAAATAGAAAACTCATCCCCTAACGCCATCGCCGTTACTCCAAAGTGTTGGTATCGCTTTGTACGATTTTTAGAAAATGGAAGTTAAGAGGAAATACTTCATATTTATTCCTGTGCTCCAACTCTATACATACAGACCGCACTACTTAAACATTGATGGAAACTTTTCAGCCACATATTTTATCATCAGTGGTCCTTTGATTTGTAAAGACAAATTTTGATGTTTATGAATAATTCTAATATGTTGCTTTACTGTATTCAAGACATTACAACTAATATATCTTAATTTAGCCAATATCATGCAAACATGATAGTTATTACATAGTTTGTGAGCAAAAAGCGCTACTTTAATTCTACTGAAACTCAAACACTTTTTCAACTAATAGTTTACTTTTTTTTTTTTTTTTTTTAAGTAAACCAGCTTCTTATAAACTGCTAGCTTCTGGGAACGTATTAGTAATCACAACTTCTACAGGCTTCACCAAGGCCAACAGTCAGCCAACAGCTCCAGCTGTAAGCCAGCAGTTCCGGCTGGTAGCCATTAGCTCCATCAGTTAGCCAACAGCTCCAGCTGTTAGCCAGCAGTTCCGGCTGGTAGCCATTAGCTCCAACAGTTAGCCAACAGCTCCAGCTGTTAGCCAGCAGTTCCGGCTGGTAGCCATTAGCTCCATCAGTTAGCCAACAGCTCCAGCTGTAAGCCAGCAGTTCCGGCTGGTAGCCATTAGCTCCATCAGTTAGCCAACAGCTCCAGCTGTTAGCCAGCAGTTCCGGCTGGTAGCCATTAGCTCCAACAGTTAGCCAACAGCTCCAGCTGTAAGCCAGCAGTTCCGGCTGGTAGCCATTAGCTCCATCAGTTAGCCAACAGCTCCAGCTGTTAGCCAGCAGTTCGGCTGGTAGCCATTAGCTCCATCAGTTAGCCAACAGCTCCAGCTGTTAGCCAGCATCTCCAGCTGGTAGCCATTAGCTCCAACAGTTAGCCAACAGCTCCAGCTGTTAGCCAGCAGTTCCGGCTGGTAGCCATTAGCTCCAACAGTTAGCCAACAGCTCCAGCTGTTAGCCAGCAGTTCCGGCTGGTAGCCATTAGCTCCATCAGTTAGCCAACAGCTCCAGGTGTTAGCTAACAGCTCCATCAGTTAGCAAACAGCTCTGGCTTGTGGCCAGCAGCTCCGGCTTGTGGCAATCGGATCCGGCTAGTGGCCATCAGCTCCGGGTGGCCACCAGCCGGAGCTGCTGGCCAGCTCCTCCGACTGGTGACCGGCTGCTCCGGCTGGTGGCAAACTTCAGCTGCTGAACTGCAAGACTTTTAACTTCTTATTAATAAATAGTTATATCTGATATCGCCCAGAAAGTTAATTTTTGTCATATTTTCCCATCATTTTTGCACAATCTGTGCCATCACCTCATTTGCAACTAGAAATACATCCCTACTGGCATTGAATGCACTTTAGAAAACACTACCGAAATTATTTCTATCTTAAGTTAAGTACACTTTGATAACTAAACTACATAGAGTAAAATGGTAGAAGCTATTTTGCTGGGAGGAAAGATTCTTTAACATCCTTTCTGTTATATTACTCAATGAAGTCATCAACAAACTGCCCAGAGAAGTCTGGTAAAATAAGATTGCAACACTTTTTTTTCGATGGTTTTAGTATCTCAGCCTCGGTGCTTAAAGTGTATAAAGTACCAAAATGTTCAACAATAAAACCAAAACACAACTACAATATGCAGCTCGCTTTGTTCCTGCAGGACAGATCAACTGGTGACAAGATCCAACAGCCACCGGCTAGCCATTCTCACACTTTGATATAATTTGATTGTTTGCTGGCATTATCTCCTGTAAATTCATTAGGCTTTGATATTTTTCTTTTTTTTTCCCCAAATAGAGGCAAATTGTAAACACCACAAAAAAAAGTGTTTTAAAATGTCTGACAAATGTTGTTTCAGACAAACGCTCTGTTCTTTCCAGCTACTAAATATTTTTTTTTGTTTGGCAATATTATAATAAAAATTTAATTTTCTTTAAATGTTCTATATAATAGATTAAAATGCTTAGTTTATAACTTTTGGATTATTATTTTTTTTAAGTAATGAATTTATATAATGCCTACAATTGATAACTCTCTTCGTATCTTAATTTTTCCTGGTTTTGCTTCTTTATTTTATTTTATTTTTTTCTTCGAACCAATAACTAGTTATTTGTAGATTATATTAAAGCAAACTTTCCATCCTAAGACAGTTTCCATCGCAGAGTTTTGGGATTCCACTTTACTCAGAGCGTTTAAACCTTGAACTTCTACTTATCTGTATTAGTAAACAGTGTGACAGGTTGGTTATTGACTGCTTATAGCCTCACATTAGAACCCCATTTTACAAAAACTAACCAAATAATGGCCCCAAACTAGAGGAAGTACTCATCATTAGAGCTTTAACGCCAGTTTTTGTCTTCTTTTTGAAAATGGAGACCCTGAAGTCTTGACAGGTGTCACAGTAGTTCAAAAAAAGTCCAATTTGTAAACGAAAAAACGGTCATTGCTCTAAAATAAAAGAAATATATATATTTTTTTCCGATGGGTATTCGACTAACCTCGATTGCCTTTAGCTTAGCATGTTAGCATCAACTCTTAGCTATAATTTTTAAGTTTTCTGACATGTATGAAAATAACACGGCTGCTTTGACTGCATATCTCTGGATTTATGTTGAATTGCATGTCGGACACAGAGGACCATTAATAACGGCAAACATCAGTCCGAATCTTTATTGATAATGTTAAGATTCACAATCACAATGCTGAGTTATTCTTTGAAGTTAGTTTCTTTATTAAACTGATATGCTGCTGCTGATTTTATAGAAGAGGTTTGATGAAACTAAACCGCACCTTAATACTATAATAATAGAGGATTAGCTGTGATGTAGCAGTGATTCCACTTTTAATGAGTCGTAAGTTTAACATGAATGTGGTCTTACTTGGTAACAGTTTGTGTAGAGCTAACTGATTCCTTCATTACACTTTAAGGTTCCCTTTAGGTCTTATAAAGTTGTTCTCACTTATTAAAGGTACATAGTCACATTATTTGACATTAACACTCTGGTTCCACCATGTTTTTATGAAAAAATATGGTGTCCTGCATGTGTAGGAGTTTATTTTTTTGTCTTCTAAGCTTTGTTTTTGCTCAATCTGTTTGTAAACATAACTTTTTTGTGTATATTAACCCTGACATCATTTCACCGAGGTTATTATATTTAACTAAGACCAACGAAATGACAAAAACTAGGATGAAAATCCATTTTCATTTCCTAAAATAAAAACTAGACCTCCCAAAAACTAACTGAAACTATAAGAACTTCGAAACTAAACCAGATTTTAGAGAAAATGTGCTTAGTTTTCATTTATGTCTTTATCATAGTTCATTAATATGAGGTCTAGTGTCTGTTTTCACTTTTTTGTTTTTTGCTATACTGTATTTTTGTAGCTTGCGGCAGGTTTTGGTAATTTTTGCTGCTTCAGTGGTCTGTCCTTATCTGGGATTTTTTCTGGTATAACTATCACTATTATATTTTTTTTGTTTTGCCCCTGATGAAGAAAATTAAAACCAAACTGAAACTAAGTCTTTTTGCAAAATAAAAACTTAACTAGCTAACATGCTAAAAATGAATTAAAACTAAACTATAATGTAAAAAAAATTCAGAAGTCAAAACTAAATAAAAACAATTAAAATTTGAACATTTTCAAACCTTGCTGCGCCTGCATAGAATTGGACAACAAGCCAAAACAATGGAGGCGCATGAGAGCACTGCAAAAAATTGAAATCTAATAAGTAATTTTTTTCTTCAAACGGGTGCTTTTTTTCCTGATTTGAGGAGGTAAGTGAGACACTTTTGCCAGTGGAACAAGACAATTTACATTTATCAAGAGAAATAATTGCTTTGTTGAATTTTAAGTGCATATTATCTAATTCTCTTATTTTAAGAGTAGAAAAACTAATTCCATTGGCAAATAACCTTATTTACTTGCTAAAATTAAGGTTAAATAAATTAAATTTAAGCTATTTTTCTTTATTTTTGGATTGTTTTTGCAGTGTGGAACTCCTATCGTAGTTACAGCAACAAAAAAAGTCCAAGATGAAGTTTAAAAA